GAGAAAAAGGGAAGCGGACAGGGCTCCGCCTGCGCCTCTCCGCGCTTTCCGCCCACCAGCCCGCCCTGCCTCGCGCATCGCCTTCGCCTTGCGCAAGCGCCCTCGGCAGCCTTTCCGGGGGCGACCCGGGCGAGCTAAGGCCTCATCATCTACCCGCGGCCTCTGCTGCGGGTGCTTCCTTCGCCGGTCTGGGATTTGGCGCGCGGGGCGTGGGAGGAAACAGGAGACCGGAGTTTGTAGGCGACGTTTTTCTAACCCGGCGCCAGTACTGTAGTCTTGTGCCTTCTGGGATCTGCTTCTTGTACCAAGAAGTTCCCTTAAGCAAAATGCACGTTATCCTTTCGCTTCCCCAAGTCAGCTTGCTTTGAAGAAGGCCACCATAGCTTTGAAAATGACGTTTATTTTATTTCCTGGTGAGCTGAACATTGAACAGGGTCTTTTGATGTTAAATCTTCACTGTTTTCTGCATTGCTAGGAATTCTGTACTGTACTTTCCATTCAGCGTCTGCTGCTGCTGCTCCTGTTTCTTGAAAAAAATTACCTTTCCTCTCTCTATTACAGTAAGCACTGTCTTACATCAGGAGGAATGTATTGAGTCTTGTAGCTGCAACTGTTTAATTTTCCTAGGGCGATCTCACTCTCTCAAATTGTATGTTCCTACTGTATTAAATTCCTGCAATGCTCCGAGCTATATAAAGGACAGACATGTCGCCCCTGAATCCTGGAGAGGAAGGCAGAATATAAACAGACTCTCTAATCTCTGTAGATTAAAGCTACTGTAGCCAAATCATAGAGATAATACAAACATTCCTCCTACCCAGATTAGAAACCCAGCTTGAAGCACCAGAGACAGAGATGCCAAAGGGTTTTATATTGAGTCAGCAGTCATATGTAAACCATAATGATAATGTGTTTCGTGATTTATTCTTCATGTGAAACAAAAGCTTGCATTACCTTTCTGTATGGTGCTATGAATGTTTTGCTCCAGTGGAAAATTCTATGAAATCCTGAAACTATTATGCCATATTTAATGAGTTGAAATGAAAGAAGGGGCAGTTCCATCCCTAAATTTTTATATTACTTTTATATTTTGTTGTTGTTCAGTCGTTAAGTCGTGTCTGACTCTTCGTGACCCCATGAACCATATTGCGCCAGGTCTTTTATATTTACTTTGCAATCATTTAAGTAGATAATAGAGTAGGAGAATACTAGGTGAAACTGTTGCCTCTTTGATTGGGTAGAGGGAGATATGAGAAGATGGCAGTTCGTTTTATCATGGATGTCTTTTTCTGTCATGAAGGAGATAAGATGTCTCTGTAAGAGTTTGCTTGGAGTGTCACATTAATTTGGCTGGCCTGACATTCATTTGCAGCCATTGCATTTCCCACTGTTCCATCTGTATATTATAACTAAAATTTTTAGCCCACTTCATCATACATTCTTTCACTTCTTCTGTTTCAAATTTCAATAAAAGTTTATACATTTTAGCAATTACATGTTTATCATTTGTACACAATCCTTTTTCAAACTCAGTCTTACAATGTTCAAAACCATGTTCTTTTGTCTACTTTAAATCTTTCTAATAATTATAAATAAGAGAACCGTTGACAACTATATCCCTCTGCCACTAGTTCTTCTCTTGATTTTATTTTACATCCCCCTTGACAAAATCCTAGTATCTCACAATAAATTAGCCATTTGTGTTTGCCTATTATTTCTCACCTATAAAATGCTTCTTGTGCTGAGATCCACAAACATGTTTTCAGGCACAACCTGGGTTGTATCTATTCCATATTCTCAATAGGGCACATCTAACATAATGATTTTTAAAATCCATATTAACCTTGACTTTATTGTACCACAAACATCCATGCCACCCAAATCTCAGATCATGTCCTTCTAACTCAGAGCCTTCTATTTCTCAGTGACACCCACTTTTTCATCCAAACCAAACAGCAAGCTGCAAAATACAATTTCAAATTGGGTAAACCCAATCCTCCTCTTTCCTTTGCATCTTGTAACACCTTATATTTATTTTAACGTGTGGGTTTTTTTCCCCTTCCACACAAATTTAGATACTGTATATCCTCAGAGCCTTCTATTTCTCAGTGACACCCCCTTTTTCATCCAAACCAAACAGCAAGCTGCAAAATACAATTTCAAATTGGGTAAACCCAATCCTCCTCTTTCCTTTGCATCTTGTAACACCTTATATTTATTTTAACGTGTGGGTTTTTTTCCCCTTCCACACAAATTTAGATACTGTATATCCTTCTGCCACTGTTTAAGTGGTGCATCAGTTGTCAAAACAGGTATTGTCTGAAACAAAAACATCATTCTAGGCAAGACTCATTTCTATCACAGAAATTCTCCCCAGCAATGACAGTGGCATTTTCCATCTCAAGTACTTTAGTTGTTCTGTACCTTGACTTGGGCAGATAAATACCATTTGTTAGTCCACCACCGTCAGCTGTCTTGGACAGGCTGAAATTTTGTACTGTATGTATGAGGAATAATATATTCACAAGACTAAAACATTCTGGAAAGAGGACCTTTTTAAATCCCATCCTCAGAACATGAGGTATGAGTTGTAATCTGGATTGGTGAAGGAGCCTCTTACAGTCCAGAATACTGACAGTTAGTATGTCATACATCAAATGGTCAAAAACGTTTAAAACTAGAAGTTTTAAAATCTAGTCAATAAAAGAGTGAAGTGCAATGTTTATCGTATAATAAGATAATAATATTACACAGAGGAACCAGAACTGTATCAAATGAAATAATAGGACGTGGGAATTCCATAGGTCTTTATATAGCCTTAGAGATTTGCAGTTTCCATTGGGAATATGTTTCTGTGCTTGCAGAATGCATGCTGATTTCCTGGTGCTAGGACTGCATGTACCAGTGATTTTTCACCTGGATACAATCACAGTCATATGATTTATACAATCTTCCCTCTAACTGCCCTGCCAAAAAAGGAAAGGCCAAACTGGCTGTATAGAAACAAATGTAGAAGTAATTACATACCTCTCCCCATATTCCCTTACCTTTAGAAAAGAAACAGTGTTTGAAAGAAGAAAGCCATCCCTGCCCTAAAAGGATACTTGACCACCATTGCTTTTAAAGGAACAAGAGGAAGGCACTTAGATTATAAAAACAATATGGGAGAACAGGGTATTTAACTCTTTCACAGCGCTCTGTTTACAGATTCTCTACTGTGTATGATCCATAGAAATTAAATGCCTGTGATTTGGTTGTCCCTAGGAAAGGGTTGAATGATATAGCTGTGCAAAGCATTTGCTTTACAAAGCCATTTGTGCATCCATGCACAACTGCTTCACTTTAGCCTAGTATACGCGCACCTGCAGACAGGCACAAAGATAGCTGGGAAAGCTCTCAGAGTCATCCAAAGGACATGCCTTTTTAAAGTTTTGAGGATGTTTTTCTGCTTTGTGAAGCATCTCTTTCATTGACTCAGGCATAATGTAAAATTTATTTTTACAAACCAATATTCTCTTCTTGAAGCTCATTTATGTTTGCACTATTTTTAATTGTGACATGATTGGTTTTATCATTTTTTTTATTAATAGGCCTACTCATTATAATGTAGTTTTATTGTTGCCATGCGCTGGCTTTCCTGATGCAGCATGCATGGGGCATGCGAGCACAAATAAATAAATAAACACTCTGCTTTTCCTTTTTTTTTTCACCCTAAAATTATTTATTTTTAAATTATGGGGAATGGAAAGTTGCTCCATGTCTGTAAGATGTAGTTTCCTACTCAAGATACATACAGCCTACAGTACTTTTTTATTTGTGGACACAATCCTATGCACACTTACATAGGAATAACTCCCAAGGAATTTGGTCAGAGTAAAAAAAAATCTTGCACAGAATGATGGTGCAATTCTCCAGCCACAATACTATTAGTCGCCAAATCATGTCTTAAATTGGAACATTTTAAGGCTGGGTGACTATCTTTTGTGTTAATCACGAGCAAACAAAGTGACTCTCATTGCAACTCATCATTTTCAGTGTCCTAGATCAATACCCCTCTTCCTCAGATACACTCTATACATTTATTTAAATGGTCAGATTTACATGTATTATCTTTGAGCACAGGTAGCATAAATGCAATACGATATTCTAATTGAGTATAAGATTGCAATATTGTGTTCATTTGTCTAGAAGCTAGTCCTATTAAATTCCAACTATCTATTTGCATAGGATTATACTTTTAATTACTTTAACTGTCAAGGAGAGGTATTAGACAATATGTTCTTTTAATAATGTATAGTTAGCACAGGTTATTTTTAGGAACTGGGGAACAATTTTTCCTATATTTGTTTCTTGTTCTTTTCTTGCAGGTGGAAATACATTAGGTGCTATTATAGTTGGATACCTTTTCAGTTGTATAAACTGTATGGCTGTACAAATCCTTCAGATGTGGGAAAAGATGTGGCTGCTTTAATCATTCAAAAAGAGGTGCTTTGTAAAAGTTCTCCCACAATCTACTTGTTACTTTAGATGGTAAGTCATTTTTTATTTGATAGTTGTAATTGCAGTCAATTTTATAGAAATAAAAAACTATACAGCAGACCTAATTTACATTTTAAGTCATTTTTTTACATATATATGTCATTCATATACATGGTTTAAAATTTTTATATTGTTACTACTTAAATCTTTCCATTTTAGGTTATAATGTCAATATACAGTATAAACTCAAAACCTTGGTTTTATAGTTAATGGAGAACAGAAAGAAGTCTTTTTCGAGCACTGCATAGTAGCTCAACACTAATAACTATTGTCATAGATAACTATAATTTAAAATAACTTTGCTATGACAGCCACCTTTCAGAAAATAGGGATAAATTGGGAATTTAATCAAGAGGGAAAAAGACAGAGTAACACGTGTGAAAAAGACCTTAAATTGAATAGCTGCTTATCAATCCAAACTTCTTAATTTGCCTGGCAACTCCAATTTATTTCTTCACTGGGTCTGATTTTTCAAGACTATATATTTCTCATGCCTAGAACTGACATCCTGAAATATTTTAGAAGACCTGGATTATCTTGAAATTCCTAGAAATTATCTCCAATATTTAAAAACGGAGATACATGTAGGCATTTTCAGAGAAAGATTATACCAATATTATGTTGGCATATCTGAGTAGATCTTAATGCTTGTTACTCTGCTGTTGACTCAAAATTGCTATCCCAGTTCAACTATGGATGAGGACTCACAATATGCCTTAACATATGCCTAAACTTCCCTGTCTTTTGTATACTTCCAGATTCATTATTTATTTCTTTGAATGGATTCACACATTATATGAAGTCAAAAAGAAAGGATATTATGGGTTACTAACCTAGTTTAACACAGAACAAAAGCTGAACATGTAATTCTACCTGATTTTTCCCAGATTTCCCATTTATGACCATCTCTAGGATTTGCACCAAAAGCTGGTTTGCCACAGAGAAGGCATGACAAATGTTCACCTCCTCCTAACCTCCATGGAGTTTCATTCCAAAAATGTTTGATTTTGATCTTCATATCCCATTTACTTTAGTCCATGCCACCTTCGTAGTGGTTGTTGTGAGAGGCCAGCTTTTCAGTAGCATGATGTGATACCACATGTATCTTTCTAAGCATTATGAGAAAATTCAAGAGCACTGAAAACTTGGCTCTTTTATTTAGCAGGAGACCTGCACTTGGAATCATTAGTTCCAAAGTGAGCTGCCAACAAATCAGTGATGGGTGAAAGCTGAATTCCTATTCCCAGGCTAACTTGTTTTGTAAAGAAGACTTTACCTTCCAGTTAGGAATAGAGGTACACAATTTAGAGAAGTGTCATATAGCTGAAATTATCTCAAAGGTATCACTCTTCTTGCAAGATGGTCTCAACACAGTACTTCATTGTATTTCTTGAATGGGCTGCCATTTAGGGAAGAAGGAGCAAAGCCACTCCCTACATTCCAACCTTTCATTATACTATATGCTATTCTTTAGGAACATTTTTAAATATCTGATTCTTTTGCGATAATAGTAGCCAGAACAAGCATTCTTAAGATTTTATTGTAGCACTTTGAACAGCTTGATTATATTTCAGAGTTGTTGTGAGCCATGCCCACTTGTCCCTTCACTATCTTGCACAGGAGACTAGCATGGTCCCCTATATTTTAGTATCTGTACAAGCTGATAAATCTCAGTCATAAATGCAAAAAACTTCATATATATTTAGGTGACATATTTAATTTGCCAATCTATTTTCCTTACAGACTAGAGAAATCAATAGTCTAATACCATGTATGATAACGAAACTTATATTCTAAATCCCTTTCCCTGAGGCATAAGAAAAGAAGAAAAGCCCATAAAAAAAAAAATCAGTATGGTTTTACTTAGATTTCCTCTGCTCCTGAATAAATATGATTATGTTATAAAAAAGAACCCTGTGAAAATGTATTGCCAGCAGCATTGTTCTGAATATTGTTCTATATAATTCCCAGGCCCTTCACCTACTTCTATTATTCTTTACTACCATTTTCCCTGTGTTATTTCCTGAAATTATATCAGGGCACAGTAAAGTATAGCCATATAATGTAAGCCTGAGTAAAGTTGGAGTAATAGTCATATTACTTTGCATTCCCCAAATTCCCTGTCTTAAGGGTCCTTTTACTGTTGGTTTTAAATAGGTGTATAAATAAATAATATCAGTTTTGATTATGCATTTGTCTAATATATAGTTTTTTTAAGTAACAGGATTCCTATCACTGTACTAATTGATAAACATTCTTTGTGTTCAGAAAACACTCTTACCCTAATGAGCTATGTATTAGGTTTTTTTTTTAAAAAAAGGAGTATACTGAAAATAAAATATGAAGATAACTGTAGGAATTATACAATATACATGTATATCTATATATATATATATAGTTTATTTCACACAGTCCTGATAAGAGTTACAGGTATATTGGGAATCATTTACAGTTCCATAGAAAATGGAGTGGCCATATAGCTTCTGATGCAAATAACATACGGTGTGTAGAGCATACACATTCCCAGTCAGCCCACCCCGCCATTCACACAATGAATTTTCAAAGCTAAGACTAGATTCAGCTACGTAGGAAAGCCTTGAGAATGCTAGGATACAGTGTTGGGTGTCATACAACACTGTAGGTCACGAATGGGACAAGCTAAACTACTTTAAATTTCAGTCTAATATTTCTAGTCTACCTGCATTATTGCATTTATACGCATTTTAAAATTCAAATAAAAGAGAATACTATATGGGAAAGGAAAAATTCTTTGCCATTTTAAGGAGCTGAGCTGCAGCCCATACAAAGTGTCCATAGAAGCATAGGCAATATCAGAAAATTTAAAAGGTACAAATTTATTTTCTAAATTAAAGTGGTGTTATTTCACATTTGCTTTAAGAAAGGTAGTCTGCAACAGCTGACTTCAAAATGAAAAATAGAAAAAACACCCAAATCTCTTTGTTATACATAGGCCAACATATGTTAACTTAGCATTCTCCAATCTTGTTCTTTCCAATTCTGTTGGATTACATCTCTGAACTGGGCAGGCAATAGTCCAGCACATATGGAGGACCTCAAGTTGGTCATGTAAGTGGGCCTGTTAACCAAGGGAAATAATCTATGTTATAGGCTACTCAAGTTAATAGGGAGACCTTTTAGAAATGTTACATTGTTTTTAGAAATGATTTTTGCTGTGGAGTACATTTTGTATGGTTTTGTTGTTTTGTTCAAATGAATCTAGAAGCAGATAGCAAACATTCAGATTGAATCAACTAGCATTTCCCATCTACAAGTATTACTTTGGGCCTTCCCTTAACCATCAGTATAGGAAAAGACAGAAGAAATATGAGGGGTGGGAGATCACCTCAAGTACATTTACAAACAAGGACACAAGTATATCACAAAAGGGATATTCTCCTTGCATTTTTGATAGCTTGGGAAACTGGTTGAAGCTTCTATGATTGAAAAACTAGCAAGTGATTAGACAAATTTAATTGCTTCATGAGGCACTCATCAATTCTGCACAATGAGGTATAATGATGGAACTGTAGCTGCCAGGGTAACAGGTTGTTTATAATCAAGGCATGGCTTTGAGACTGAAATAGAAAATTATAACAGAGCTATCTTTCATATGCCAAATGCTTCGGGCCGTGTGTATGTTAAGAAATAGAAGTAATATTAAGTGATTACGTAGCCGGTACTGTTTTTTTCATTCATCCTGGAGTAGAATTCGATCATAATTTAAAATGACCTTAGAGTCAAACTAAAATGAAGACTGCTTGGCAGACAGTGGGAAGTTCTGTGATGTGGAGAAGGTGAAGTGGGCTTTGCACACTGTGCATCTTAATCAAGGGTTCAGGGAAAAAGGAGTGGCGTAAGAAGAATGGGAGAATGTAAGGTGGATGGAGCCAGGATTTTGAATAGAAGTAACTTAGTCTTCACATTTGCCTGTTTGTACATATATCTGTCAAAACTGTAAATTACGTTTAGTTTTTATGTACTAGTTTTTATCATGACATTTTATTGTCCTTGCACACCTAAAACAGCCATCCAGACCATAATATACAACAAAAGTGGCTTTTTGGAGTGAGAAGGAGTTTCTCATTCTTTTTCTAGTTTTCCCTCTTTCTTTTTCATACTTTAGTCTCAAAAGAGAGAAACACTATCCATTTCTGTTCACTACATTTCTGTGAACTGCATGGGGGCAACACCTCATTTAAAATCAGCATATAGCATCCCTCCCTTGACTCATTTTTTAACATTGGATAGTGAAATCTGGGTTTTTCCTTCAGGCAAAACAAGCAAAAACATTAAGCTGGGAAAACCCTTACACGTTGAATTAAAGTATCAGCATGAATTACTGATGCAATTGAAGCACTGCTGCAGTTCTATTTGTGTCACCTTGAATACTCAGTTCATGCATAAGTTTCAGTATGTTTAATAAAGCAACCCTCTTTAATCTTCTGTACACAAGACTGATAAAGGGCTGATCTTCCTGACTCTAGTAATACATGTTTATGGCCAAACTGAGGTTGCTAGTACAACATTCTGTACTGAGGCTGCGTTGTACAATATAGTACCACAACATGCCGAAGAGGGAATGTGAAGGAATTGTACTTCCAAATTAAATATGCAGAATGAAAACTTTTGTATCATCTCCATAGAAATGAGAATAGCTGATGTATTTCCCAGCAAACAAGCATATACAGGAAGTTCAGCATGCTGAATGTGGGTTTTTTGATAATGCATGATAGACTTACAGTAAATGTATATTCCTTTATTAGCAGGTTATACATGGGCATCCACAGGATGGACTGGGGGGGGGAGGGATGATGATATATGCATCATGACATCCTCATACAATACAAAAGCTGTGACTTAGCTACTTGCATCATATATTGTGATGTCATTACATAATTGCACCATTTGTACAATGATATCATGACACATGTTATTTTGATATCACAGCAGTTTGTTAATGAATTTGCTGAAGTTACCATGTCTACTCAGTATTCAAAAACTGTCCCAAGATCAGTTGCTCCCAACTTCCATGAAATTAAAATTAAAGATGGGGGAAAGAATTACAATTCTAATATGGGCAAAAAAATTAGCTGTGATTACTAAGAAGAAGAATCCAGCTATTCTTCACATCCTCCATGTCGTAACATTAGCTCCAGCTGCACTTACTGATGCGTGCCTTTTGATACAGGAAATGCCCAATTGGAGCAGACATTTAGTATTATCTGACCATTTCCTACCCACAGAAAAAGCTGCACTCACTTATTTGGAAAAAAACTTAAAAGTCCGTGCAGTTTACTCCTGAATATGCTTTCTGAGGATTGCATTGCAATTTTTTTTTTAAAAAAAGTAGTGTAATGTTGAATCTTGTGAGCTGAGGTTCTAGACCTTTCTCAGCCACAAAGCTCACAGAATTACCTTGGTCCATTCACTCTCAGTCTAAACAATGGAGGAAGGGTAATATGTGAACTTGGGAGGGAGGAAAGAGTAAAAATACCAAGTATAAAAACAGTTAGTTGATGAGTTGTATAATAATCCAGCTGATCTGCAACAATAAACAGAAACAATACAATTTTGCTAGTAGCAGTTTGGCAAAGATTGAAGTTGGGGGGGGGGAATCTAAAAAATCAATAGAGGTAATCTTGACTCCACTCAAAACAATCACTATCAGAAGAGTCCCAGCTGAAGACATCTAGCCTTCTGAAGAAAGTGTTTTGTTACTTTATCACTAGTAATAATCGATGTGTATTAACAACCCTGGAACTAGAGAAATGCTTACATTGGATCATTGTACTGTACAAAGTAGAGCCAATATTAGAGATGCCAAAGCCAAACCTAGTAGCAACCTCCCTCGTGCCAATAAGCAGCAACCAAAAGCCACTAGTGAGGAGACAGACGTTATGAGGGGTTACACAAATCAGGATGCAGTGCATGCTGATTTATTGAGCTTTCAAAGAAACAAATAAACCAAAAAAACCCAACAACCTGTCAATAGGATGCATATTCAAAAGCTTCAATGACATTGCTTACCAAATTCCAACATAACTAGGCTTTCCACTGCAAGCTGAACATTTCCCTAACGTACAAGTTCATTGAGCTTGGCCTACATACATAAACACATTTTCCAGATGTCCACTGTCCAAAGCAGGAATGAGCAAGTATGTGCCTTATTTATTGTTGCAGTGAAATAGGAGATGTATTTGTAGAGTATACAAGAACACACGTAGCAAATCAGCCCAGGTTCTGCATCACTATTGCTATGGCCAGGAGGTAACAACACGATGACCTTCTGTTTCCCTAAGGGCCAATTATGGGTAGGGGCAAGGATGATACACCACCACCAGGTTTACATTAAACCTCAAGAGAGGAATAAGTTTGCACATGTCATCACACAGATCCACAGTTACACCAGCAAATTATATTGGCTCAAGTGTATTGGGGGGCATCTGATGATGCCATTCCTTGGGGAGAATAGCTTCTTCCTTCCTTGCCCGCCCCTTTTCTGCTCCAGAGGCTTATAAAATGCTCCAGAATTAGAGGCAAGCAGGGAAAGGAAAGTTCTTTTGTACCAGCAACAGTCCATCAATTGTAGAGGGATTCCTTAGAAGCACAAGACGGATTATTATACATTCATCAATTAGCTAAATGTATCTTTGTTTATTGAAAGGAAATCTTGGTTTTGGCTACTGTACAATGGAATGCAAGTGGCACAAACACAGACACTTTGTGTGAATGCAGGTGTGCAAATAAATGGTTGCATTCTGCTTTTCTACAAAGAATACAGGTTTTGTAGCTTTACAAAGGCTTCATAAATTGTAATGTATATACACATATTCTCAAATAAGGCAGGGTTAGGAAAGCTTGTACACATATACACAAGAATACAGGTTTTCAGTCGGGGAGCAGGTTCTGAAAAAATATTCAGAACAGTGGGACACCACAATATTAAACAATGGCTGCCAGCGAATGATTCCCTTATAAACCTAACCTATGACATCACAGCCATAAATGCAAGAGAGAGATGATTAATTGTAGTCTAGGCACTGCCATCATTTTACCATACTTTTGGATTTATGGTTTGTGAGTTTAAAGTTAGTGGGGCTAAAAATACAAAAAAAAAAAAAAATCTAGTGTGTAGGTTAATTTCTGAATATGATGGGATGAAAACATGATATGTACATACACACATACCACAAACGTCAATCTTTTACTAAAACTAATCTAATTGGTATGGGTGTGTTTGTATAATTAATACACATACACGTACACATACCTGTTTCACACTGGCATGATCCAAGCCAAAAAAAAAATCTATTAAAGAAAGAGATGGTCATTCAGTCATCTTACATTATAATCAATGCTCCAGTGTCCAAATTCTTTCTGTCAGGGAAACATTTTTAGTAAATTTATCAAAGATAAATAACTGCCCCCCCAATCTGGTTTTAATTATTTCAAGAAGACCACCCACACAGCAAGGCTCTTTCAAAACAGGGAATTTCCTCTCATCTTCAGCATCCCACTTCAAATATTATGGGGAAAAATGACTCCTGCGAATCAGTTTTTGTTATTTCTTTCCTTATAGATTATATTATTCCTCTGGTATATCTTGATTTAAAGCTGTAAAATATCATTGAGATGAAGATCATCCATTGGGTTCAAATTCTTGCATTTGGGCAATATATTCCATATATAAATATTCCTTAAATCCATATTCCAGATGAAGGAAAATACACATGCTTAGTCCTATAATTTTTTTTCTTATTTCCCATTCATAGCACAAAAAGGTATGTAACTTTATATGAGAAGCTCCAGCATTTGTTCAAAATCCATTATACACAGATGAGCTCATCAATGTCCCAAAGGTTTAAATCACATAGATTTAAATATTTGAAGTTTTTTTTTTTAACAACAAAAAAACCCCTCTTTTAAAGGTATCTAAATTCTACAGAGGTACTTGGCCAATGCAGAGCCAGGGTTGCATTTAACATGCATTTAAATGGTGGAGAAAGACTACTTTTCTAAGTTCCAAAGCTATTCAAATCAATGGCTAGGCTATCTTTAGTACCATGCTTTGTACACATTGTGTGATGGATGGCAAGCCAAGATGTTGCCTTCTGGACTTCAGTTAGTAATCTCAGTAGACTAAGTTTGCTTCTTGAACTCTAATAGCTTCTCATGCTCCAAAGAGAGCTTTGTAATTTAGATGAGAGTGTACTTTGATGCTCTGACAATGAACTGAAGTAGATCAATACTGGATGGGACTACGTGGTCCTCAGATTAGAGAAGATGCTGCCATCTTATGTATCTTTGAAAGTACTTGCAGTTTCAGTGAGCTGGACTACAGGATACTAGATGGTCTTCTTGAAGGAAATGGTCATTTCATCTACTCTTCCACAGCCCAACTAAAAGCAAAGGATTCTGAAAATGATGCTGGAACCAAGTTTAAAAGCTGACCAAAAGGTGGGATGGGAGGAGCTATGGAAAGAAAACACAGAATAGCATCTATTGACCAGAAAAAACTATCTATACACAGTGGTGAAAGCTAAGTTATGTTACATGTGAGAGCACAAATGGATGGAGGACCCTGGAGCGCTAGCCTCAAGCAAGACCTATCTACCTCTCTCTTGCTATATACTGCATATTTATAGGTATGTATAGAAGTGATCGCATGCATTGATGTCAAAAGGAACAGTACGCAACCCAGGGGAAATTCTGTCCCCTGTGTTCCTTAGGTTTTCTATTTTTTCCGAGCTACAATGGCTACTCCTATGATCACAGCTATGGCAGCTACTGCTGCCCCTCCAAAGATGAGTAGGGGCTTGATGTTCTCAAAGATGCTGCTCCCTGGTGACTCCTCTGCACTGTTCCCTTTATGCTCAGAGTTGGCAGGATGGGTGGTTGCTTCAGGCCCCTCAGCTGCTGGCACTGCAGTAGGTTTCAGGTTGCTGTGGTCATTCAGCATGGCCGCCTCGCTGGTTGCTGTGGCTCCCTTTTTTGCAGGGGTAGTGGCAGCAGGAGTTGGCTGCTCCTTAGGAGCTTCTTTCTTATCAGCACTTGCCGCAGGCCCAGAATGAGGCTTCTCAGGCTTTGCTGAGCTAGCAGTCTTGCTATCAGTCTTGTTTCCACTTCGGGTGCTTTCTTTAGACTCCATTCTGCTCATGGGAATGGCAAAGGTGGATATCGCCTAAACTCAGCTCGAACCAAAGCAGAGGGATGTGAAGCCAGCTGTTGAGATGGCTCTCTTCAGTTGGCCCTTCTTACTAGCCCAAAAGGAGGACCCGCCTCTCACTTCTGGACCTTGGGAAAGCTGTGGCTTTGTCTCTCCAAAAGGTGTCTTGCTCAAATGATATCCTGCCTGAACATAGTACAAATCCTGCAAGATCAAGCAGAAACATCCCGGTCAGAATATAATCCCCATATAGAGTAGCATTTTTCACACAATGCATTTGGACACTTTTCCTTTTTAATTTCTGTTTGTACCATGGTATTTTTATGCTATGCCCCTGTATGGCGGTATAGCTGCTGTTACAACAGGCTGGGTCATGCACCAACATTTTTTCCAATTAACAGCATTATGTCTGTGGACAAGTTTCGCTCTTCTCTTTCAAGCCCTCGGCCATAACTGAAGCCTTCCATTTCAGTCTCCTGCATAATGGTTTCAAGAATCCCTGCTGACAACTCAATGATCATTCCACAAAGTTTCCAAAATCTTTATACTGCTAGTATCAGATCAGGAATCTGAATCTAATAAAATGTGGATAATCACTTCACACTGACAGTTATTGTGAATTTGTAAGAGACAAGCAGCACAATCCTTAAATGTGAAACTCCCCATGCTAGCTGGATCTATTAATAAACTTATATTTAAGTTGCCTCATACAAAAGCTCTTCACAGGGCTCTGAAACTCTGAAGGCTCATGAGGGCATAATAATGCAAATTGTTTACAGTTCTCCTGATTCATAAACATGTCAGTTCATATGCCAGCCTTCCTTAACTTGGGGTATCTTCAGATGCATAGATTTCAGTTTCCAAAATTCTCAGCAATCACCATATTGATTGGGAATTCTGGAAGTAGAGATTCATATATCTGGGAAGGAAATTAGGCTGGGGAAAGCTTTATACACTATCCTTTTTATTTTTATTATTAAATATATACCCCACCTTTCTTTGGACACTTTATGTGAAGACCTAGCTTTCTGGAGAAGTCTATAATGCTGGGAAAGGTGGAAAGAAAGAGAAGAAGAGGATGACCAGCAGCAAAGTGGAGGACTCACCATTGGAAGACCTGAAGGATCAGGCTGGGGACAGATTGTCATAGAGAAAAACTATTTGTGTGGTCACTAAGAGCTGGCACATTATCATTCAATCATCCCACCTTTCTGTTTGTGTAATATGCCATATAAGCACACAGATTTTTGGCAGATGAACTAGCTGATGTGTACATTCCTATGTATCTCCTGGCTCCTTCTCCATAAACTCCTTTTCTTCTGATCTGCTGAGTCTTCAGTAAGCAGCAAAACCAGGATATGGCCATTTTCAGTCAAACTCTAGCAAGCTCTTTTAATGTGCTGCACATTATAATTTGTATGGTTATCTCATGATGACTGTAGAAATAATTCCTTACACATTCAAGTAAATGTGAATACTATTCATGTACACCAATCCTTAAGCATCACTGAAAAGCATCAGATCAGTTCATGCATTCAACTGCATGTGATGAAAAGATAATGGAACATATTAATGAGTACTGTAAACAAAATCCCCAAAATGTATAAGCTGAGCATGTCTTTGGGGCCCCAATGTGTCAATCATCACAAAGCAAACTGCCAAAATCATTGTCTCACCGGTAACTATCCTAAACCAATCCAATACTTGATAAACTTTTTTTATGGAACGATGTTAGAATACGATCTAAATTGTACAAAAGTTGATTTTCCAAAAGCCTACTTTTTCCTGCATCTGGGCAAAAGATTAAACTAAACTAAACTAAACTAAACTAAACTAAACTAAACTAAACTAAACTAAACTAA